TCCCTTTGCTGACCCAGAGTCAACCCAGCAATTCCACCTGGAGAAGCAGGAGCCCCCGGCCCCAGCCCACAGAGCGTGCCTATGCCTAGAAAACTGGGCGAAGACGGGGCACAGCTGCAGCTGGGTGCCCAATGGGAAAGGTGGCCACTCCACCTCAAGCCCCAGGGTAGAGGCCACTTCTCCTTCTGCTCAGGGTTGACCTTCCGTGACCCCCTGTAGCCTGCGGGTATCCCCTGGCGGGGGCAGTAGGCAAGTAGAGGAAAAATCCGAAGGGAAAGGCCGAATCCTGAATCGTTGGAAAGTCCACCACACAGTCCACAGCGGGAGGCGTGTGAGGTAGTTCATCTATTTGTGCCCGAGAGCTCAGGGAGGCGCTGGTGTGACCCAAGTCGGGGACAGCAGGCTGTTTAGCGGGTAGGTGAAGGTAAGGGTCTTCCATGACCACCACAGAAACAAAACACCTGGGTCAGGATTTAGTCCAGTATTGGAAAAGCAAAAGAACAGTCAGCTGGGGGTGCCAGGGAGGCAGGTGATGTACAAACCTGGAACCCTTAGGATGGTCCACAGAATGCAGAGGAGCATAGCCAGGACAGCGTCCCATGAAGTCCAAGGAAGACTAGGCAGAAGGCAGGGGAATCTGCTAGGGACCAGGCAAGCAAGCTGTTTCAGGGAGGCATCTTGGCCTTCTCTGCACACCTGGATGGCTATAGCCTACTGCAGCTCTGCCACCATACCTCCCCTGTCTTCTGCCTTTCCGCAGGCTTGTTAGCCTACATTGCCAAGGTTCTTCTCCAGGACTTCAAGGCCCTCCATTTCACTGCTGTGTCCTCAGCCCCTCCACACTGCAGCTCGGTACATTGGTACTAACTTTTCCCTCTGATTGAAACATTTTTGCCCCATATGACTTACCTCCCACAGGAAAGTTATTCTCCCATATACCCGCAGGGCTGTCCCCGTGTGTCTGCTGTTGTCGTCTCCCCTCTTCGCATACCATAGGAAGTAAACTGCAAACAAAACAAACAGGGATCCCCCTCTATCTTGTTCACAGCTGTGTCCCCAAGACCTAAAACAAGGCCTGGTACCCAAGAGGTGCTCATTCAGTTTCACTGGAGTTACTCTGCCAGACGTTGTTCATGGCGTTTTACATTTGCTTCTTTATTTTCCACGCCACCATGTAATGTAGAGACTAATATTATTTCCAATCTCATTTCACAGATAAGAAATGAAAGTTGACAGATATTACGAAAAATATATACTTATGTATAATGCCCCCTTTATTTTGCATAGGTGTTAGTGGCTGCTATCCTGATCTGTGCCCCTGTTTAAAACTACTTGAATAGATACGCTGCCAGTACTGTCTCTTATAGTCAGAGATGTGTGAGAATGGAAGGAATTACTTATTTACATTCCTGCGGTTGAGCAGAAGGCAGAAGGACAGCTAGGTACCCATGTTCTACTGCCTCCCTGTCTGGGGCACATCTTTCAGGGCACACCTGGACCCCCAGACTCCTGGGCTTTTGTGTGCTGTGGCTGGGCTCAGAGAGAGCTTTCCACTAGGCATCCCCAGAAGTCAAAACCTTAAGGTCCTCCTTTGAGCATTTCCATTTCTGCGAGAGCTTCCCGCGTTTTGGCCTAGGCAGGAACGGATTGGCACTCTAGCAACACACAGGTCAATTTTTACTTTATTGTTTTAATATGTATTTATTTGAGATGAAATGCCCAGGCTGGAGTGCAGTGGCACGATCACGGCTGACTGCAACCTCTGCCTCCCAGGTTCAAGGGATTCTCCTGCCTCAGCCTCCCAAATAGCTGGGATTACAGGCGCAGGCCACCCCGCCTGGCTAATTTTTTTTTCTTTTCTTTATTTATTTGGTAAAGAGGTTGCATCACTTTAGCCAGGCTAGTCTTGAACTTCTGACCTCAAGTGATCCACCATCCTCGTCCTCCCAAAGTGGCTAAGATTAAGGGCATGAGCCACCATGCCCGCCCCAGACCAATTTTTAGTTCATCCAGAGTAACCCTCTCCTGCCTTAGTCCAGCCTGGACTAGGACTTAGTGTGCATCAGAACAAAATCTTCTTGGGAGAACAGCTCTTGCGGGAGCACAGTTTTAAAGTTTGTTTAGTTAATTTTTAAAACTTTAATACTATACTTTTTAAATTGCCTATCGCTACCCACGAGGGTGAACTCAAAATTAAGCTCACCCGGGGTGAGCTCGCCACCTCCCCGCACCAAGTGGAACAGGCAGAGCTCGCGCATGCCACACAGGGGCGGGGAAGCCACTAGGCGGTCCTCATGGGAATGCGCCGTACACATAACCTCTTTCCCTTCACATTCTACACATCCTTGAGAAGCTGTTTTAAACACTTAAGTGTGCTTGTTTCAGAATGTATTTGTACAGCGCTTCCAGATTATGTTGTACGGAAGAGGGGACTGTGATGCCGTGCAATTCCCCTTTGCCTTTTGCACTACAGGGCGCCGCCATCTTGAACAGAGGTGTATCAAAGGGCTCGCCATTTTGTGTGGTCGGGCGGGTATTTCCGGTTCCGGCGGGCGTTGGCTCGCTCTCTTTCACTGCAAGGCGGCGGCGGGAGTAGCTGTGGTGCTGGCTTCTCTGAGCCATCTAGTGCCATCCTCGTCGGTGCAGCGGCACACGCGCTCTCCGCCGCCATGACTGAGCAGATGACCCTTCGTGGCACTCTCAAGGGCCACAACGGCTGGGTAACACAGATCGCTACTACTCCTCAGTTCCCGGACATGATCCTATCCGCCTCTCGAG